GAAGGTGTGTTTTAGAACCTATATGAGAAGTAATTGTATTTTTTGTTTGAAAATTAATACTATGATCACAAAAACGATACTATAGAATATACATTTTTTCCATTATCCTATTTGATTTATAAAATTCGGAATAATCATCCTCTATGCTTGTAACTAGGTTGATTATACCAACATTTTGAGGAAGACCCTTGAAAATGGATCAGGCATAGTCAAGTTCTTTAAAAGTTTAGATTACACGTTCTCCCAGTGCAATCAAGCAGAGGAAGATTTGAAAAGAGCACTGGAGACAATCTCGTCGGAAAATGATGAACTATCATCCAAAGCACAGGAGTGGCTTCGTAATTTTGACATCATGATAAAGAGTTTGAGTATAGAACGGCATTGGACTTCAACTAAAGTGAACGAGAAGCGCAAAAAGACTCAAGCATTAGAATTGATTTCTGCCGAAAAAGAAGTTAGTATAATAATGGAATATAAAATTTTTAATGTTTTTAATATGCTTAGGCAGTATAAAAACTTTGAATACAGGAACAGCATTTTTATAATGTGAGGTCAAATATTGCTGTGGAATACGACAGTGCTAGCGATGATTTTCAAGTCAGAACTCAGGTTAGTTAATTAATCCTTCTGATACATTAATCATTTATAATACATATTTAGGAGCGAATATTAATTATTTATTTTTTTGAATTTTTGCAAATCTTTTTTGTTGTAAGAACATTTTAACAAGCGTCTTTCATCTTTTAAAGAACCATCGGATTCAAAAAAGGTGGAAATAAAGTCGTCAAATCTTATTAATTACTTCAAACGACAAATAACTTATTGCAATGTTTGCCTTTCCATCTCATGTTTTAGATGAAATCAAGTGGTAAAACTCCAACTATTGATGTGGTCTATGATGGTTACGAAACCTCCACTAGCGATTATACTTCTGCTGATACTGAGGAGAAATCAACGAACGAAATGTTACTTATCGACCTAGCAAAATTCGAAGAAGCATACTCTAAATTAGATCCAAATTGCATGTGGGTGCTTGAGAGTGGTCGAAAAGTGAAAGAAGTAATCTATGAATTCGCTAGAAATTTGCCTAGAGAGTCATGCCTGCATTCATTCATAATAAATGATGCTGATGCTGATGTTAAAGGTTTATTTTCCGATGTCGAATGGAAAGAAATTACTGGTTCGGAAGTTAAGGAGAATCTAAAAATTGGACTCTCTCTTCGGGATTTAATGATAAAATACACAGTTAAAAGTATCAAGGAATTGCGGAAAATTATTTATGAACCATTTATACTAGATGGCAGTGAATATGACAAAAATCTTCATCACGATCTCGATTTTATTAATTATGCATATTGGAGTATGTTGTTTTTATGGGATAGGGAGGAGAATCCTTTTGATTCTTCTAAGTTAGAGGGATGGTACGAAATGAACATTTGGGGCCACCTGATCGATCTGATATTTCACGATATTAACATTGATTTAGTGCGTGGTGAGTGTATGAGTTGTGCCTCGAGCGATAGAAAAAACATTATAAGAATGATCAATGATCGAAAGAAGATTGGTCGAAAAAGGGACGGAGTTTTTAAGTTATGTAAGGATCGCCTGGAATTTGGTGCCATAGAGGCAGGTCGTAAATGGGAAGGACATAATGGGACTAAATACTTGAATGATTCCTTAAAACTAAATAAAATGATGAAGGACATGATTGTACAGCTCACTACCATATGTGATTGGAGAGAGGACCTTGTTAGAAAATTGGAAGTTATCGGGATTCTACATGGAGCCAATAGAATTCAAATAATCACGATGGATTATCTGAAAGGATATATTTCTCATATCAGACATAGGAAGTTCTATGAAGTTTCAGGTCGCCTAACTAAATCCAATCCACTTGCCTTGGTGTTGAAGGAAATATTATATGCAAAATATATTATTCTACGGACACTAGACTTGATAAACCAAAAGGATGACATTAATATTGAAAACTTCCTTAACGACTCCGATGAACAGGACGGGTGTCGTACACCTCCTTTCAAAGTTAACATAGCTCCTACTTTCAAGACTCTGAAGACAGCCAGAACCAAAGATGTGATTAATAAAAAATAGGTATGTATCTAATATGATTAGAGTGATTATTAGCTTGTAAATTTTTTCTGGACTTTTGTGACCTAGTTTAGTCAAATGCTAATGTGATATAACAATTGTACGCAGTGTATGTAATCAAGATTATTAAATCTTAATAAAGCGAGCTTAATATGTGTAACTGTATATCAGAAAATAGAACTCGTTAATCGTGATACATGCGAAAATATATCAAAAAATTTTTCATATGGCCAAATCTATTTCATGAAAATATGATCGCATATTAGTGATTAGTGGGATGACATAGTCAAGAAGAGGGCGACATATATTTCGAATTTAAGCACGGATGATACGTAGTAGTATCTCATATTAGGGCATTGATGTCTCAAGCGTTAAATGTAAACCATGATGGCAATTTAGTACTTTTTTTATATGTAGTATTGCAAAACACGATCTCGCTTAACATCATATATTGAGATCATGCCTCTATTGGTTAGAAGTGTGAAGTGTCTTCACCTGATATTGCGTCAAGTTAGCTTGTCTGCTCAGCTACAAATCAATAAACCCGTGCTTAACCAGCAAATCCATATAAATTTGAATCTAATATTTATTAGAGTATAATATTGCTAAATCGCTAAAATCGCTAAAAACACTATAAAATCAATAATATCATTATAATCTGTTATAATCTACCAAAACGTTTATAAATATAGACTTAGATAGTAGAACCTATTCTAAGCTAATTATAGTAAGCTATAGTGATGTAAACTTTGAAGTATATGGAAGAATAGTTGATGCAATAGGCCCTTTAACAAAAAGACGTAATCACGAAATACCAGAAATGTGGTGCTCTCGTATCTGTGATTCATTTAGGAAAATACAGAGGGTGGACAAAAGTATCTGCACACCTCCATAAACGTGAATTAATGCTAGTAAAGTCATATGATCACAATAACAAATTGCGTTTACATGACACTTA